AATCTTTAACTCATTGTTGACTAAATTTAAATTAAGAAAATAAATTAAATATAATAAACAAAAAAATAGAAGTGGCTATGGCACCCAAGAGGGGGGGAAAACTAGGTGTATTTTAAAATTTTACAGTTTGAGGCTCTTTTTAAACTTAATTTTCTTTATGTAGAAGAGTTAGTTGTGTTGATTTATTCTAAAGGATTTTAAGAGCAACAACCACAACAACGCAAAGCACAAAAAGAAGGACAACATACGTAAGATTTCTACATGGTTTGCCCCTTGCCTATAGTCACGCCTAGCCACACTGATTAGAATCTTTAACTAAAACCAAAACTATGCTCTTCCAATGAGCATAAAAATTCTTACAAAAACTCACTCGATAGTATCATTTTCCACAAGGTAGTAATTTAAACCCAACTGCTTTCCTCCATTGAACTAATGCTCCTCACACACCAAGCATTGTACTTTTCCCTAGCTTAGTACAAAATCCTTACAACTCAACCCAAAGGAAAAAAAAAATTCAAGGGATTTTCAATCACAAAAGAAATCACCCCTTCATCACGAGCGTTTTTTCTATCCGGACTCCTGACGTAGCTCTACGTGCGGACCAAGCTATTTCTAAATTATTTTCAAATTATTTCTGGGTTATTTTCAATAATACCGAAATAACCGAAAAATAATTCGCGGTAGTTATTTTTGGGGTATGTCTGGGTTATTTCGGTATTATTGAAAATAACCCAGAAATAACCTGAAAATAACTCGGTCCGCACGTAAAGCTACGTCAGGAGTCTGTACAAAATTTTTTTTTCTTCATCACACAACCCCCACACAAATCAAGCAATCAACAATATCATAACAATAATTTTTTAACAATATGTAGAGAGATGGTATGCATGAGATATGGAATGATAATGGCAAAGTATTTTGGCAACTTATCACATAAGTTATTTAAAAGCTTGGATTGATCTTGAAACCTTCAACTTAAATTATGATAAATTTTAGCGCACACACAAAAAAATATGAATCAAATTTATCATCAAGGTTATGATTATGAAAGGAAATGCTATGAAGGCTACGTTTTTATCAAGGTATGCAAGTGAAAAGAGAGCATGCGAGGAGGACTTGAAAAATAAAAATTAAGTGAGACTAAGGGAGCTTCACTCAACTATACCACGTTCAAGCAACCGTAAATTGTTAGAATCCCATGTATTTTGTTGACTCTCTCATAATGAAGAGTGGAGGGAATTTAAATTAAAAATATTTTATATTTTTATTTTGAATTTAAGAGAAGCATTAGAATATGAATTAAATCAAACTCATTAATTAAAAATTTCTCAATTTAATTGGAGCTCATGGGCCCAAAATTTTAGAGTGTCTATCTAATTGATATTATTTTAACTACTAAATTCTTATTAATTCTATTAATGATATAGCATGATTATATTTTACCAACATTTAATTTAAGTAATACATTAACTAGCTGAAGGATGAGTTCACATTACCAATCCCAAAATTAATGGTAGATATCGCGTCGTCGTTCGCAATGTTCTCTTTTATGGATGGATCATCTGGATATAATCAGATCAAGATGGCATCAGAAAATACAACGTTTTCCACTTTGATAATATTGCTTCACAGTGATACCCTTTGGATTAAAGTAAGAAGGGCTTGACCAATTTCTTAACCCTAACAACACCATTTTTTCTTTTTTTTTTTTGCTATGTAGAGGTCTTCTTGAACATAATTTTTCTGAGGTTTTGTCTACTTCAGTAATGTTCTAATTGGATAAAATACTCTCAACATATGTCATAATCAGATTTAATGCTCAACAATTTAAAGGCTACTAATAATTCTGAATGTATGGTGCAACCTTATTATTGAAGTTGTTGTACAACATTCAATAAATTGTAAAATCTTTGCACTTCACTATTTAGTGGTTGATCATTCTCAAAAACATTCTCTATAAAATGAATTCTATTTGTATCAAAAATTATTTATTCATATATGTTAGGATCATATCCAGTTAGAGGGGCAAAAATTGATGAAACACCAATGTGATCGTACAAAACATCTTGGTTCATACGCTCCATGTGCAGTCTACTACCAATTTTCTCAAAAATTATTTATTCATATATGTTAGGATCATATTCAGTTAGAGGGGAAAAAATTGATGAAACACCAATGTGATCGTACATAACATCTTGGTTCATACGCTCCATGTGCAGTCTAGTACCAATTTTTAGGTTAAAAGCTCTTACCGTACATCTAGTGTTTGTTATGCCTGATTTTTATGCTTCCCCCATGGACAACGAAACTTACCTTTGGAAAAGGAAATGAGAATTTGTGATACCACTTACACAAATTCTTATAAACTATTTAAGAACTTATAATGAATCATTTTCTACCTAGATACAGTCTATTTTATATCCAAGATCTTAAATCTCGAATGTCTGTCATCTGCCTATATTATATATATATATATATATAAAGATGAAGACACTTAAGTCATCGGTTATACACAAAAATTTTTCATACAAAATTATACATGAAAACAACTCAATTTAATATCAATACATAATATATCTTAAATGTTTGTGCAATTATGTATATGCATTTTCACATATCGCCCAATTCTTGTGTGTGCCTGTGTGTGTGTACAATCTAAACCATTCACAATAATTTATGCGCACAAATATATATGTATACACACACGTGAGCGCACGCACGCACACACAGACACAAAAAAATATATATGTACATATACATGCACTAATAAAAGTAAAGGGGTGTAAATACATACCACCCAATTCTTATGCATCTAAATATCTAAAAACTAATTTTTAATTCTTACAAAGTTTATCCACTTTGTATGATAATTTCATGTTAGAGATTTTTAATCATCGAAGTCCTCATACACACACACACACACATACACTAACTTTCATTTTCATTTAACTTAGCCAAATTTTCTTAAACTAAATTACATTAAAATGTCTCCATAAACCCATGCATTCAGCTAACTTTACGATAGCTTACATCAGTTATCTTACTAAATTTACATTACTTGTTGCATTGTTCCTAAATCATCAATGTTTAACCATTATATTGATATATGCATCCAGTGTTTAATATTTATTGTCGCATGTGCCTTACCGGAATTACCTATAGCATTCAAATTGCTTCTACGGCTAAAAGTTACTATTTTCAAAACCTTGGACATTGGGCTGCTGGCTGCCATCATTTCCTTGCTTAACTAACAAACATTGAACATAATTGCATCACATGTGTTTCCATATGAAACCGAGGGAAATCTGACCCATTGCTACATTTTGTTTCTTTTATTAAACCTTTGAAGCATTGGTCCTTGTGGCTGCATTATTGTGGGTTGGAGGACCAGTTTATAAAATGGGAAGAAAATAAGACTAAACAGGGGGACTGCTCAAAAGATAAGGAAGATCTATGAAACTTCAGAAGGAAAATTTGAAACTGATTTCCTCTCTTCTCCCAAGATAAGCTAAAATTGAGATTCTTCTCCAAATGCTGATAAAAAATAAAGGAGATTCGCCTTCATTTTATTGCAGATCCTTACATGGGAGAACAAGATTCAATCTTCCTCATATATAAAATTCTCTAAATCAAATCATGCATTTGTTGAAGTTTAAATTTGCTGAGATTCTCATTTGTTGAAATTGATTTTTCATGGTGGTGAAATAAAATTTCTCACGTATGGAAATATAGTTTGTTGAATTTGCAAAATAGTATTGCTGAAATCGATTTATTATTCCTACAGTTTAAATATAAAATACCTCCCTTGAATTTGCAAATTCATATTGCTGAAATAAATTTCACTTTGTTGAATTTGCATTTTTTTTTCTTTGGTGATAATCATGCTCCTTCGTTATTCTTTCTATGAATTTCCAATCTAAACTTGAATACTAAGAATGAATTCTCCTGAGACTCTTCCAAGGTCATAAAAAGCATAGGAAACTTTTATTACAATTATGTTCTGCTTAATCATGCAAAGTCACTCAGGAATCATCTAGTCCTTTATGAGATTGCAATCTCTAACTAGCAATATTCTTTTTCTAGTAGGTGATTGCGTGTTACTCTACTGAATCTTCTTGCATAGAGTCAGCAGTCCTAGACCAAGGGGGGTTTTAACATTTCAACTGGCTAAATGGAAAATAAAGGAAGAACAAATAATAACGTAGCAACTTGCAATTAAATCCAAGAAACATTAAAATATATCTCATGGAAAAGATATATTCATCACACCTCCAAATCAAACAAACATAGAGAAATTAGTTCCTAAGCATGTTGAGTGAAAACCAAACAATCTTCATTGAAAACCAAAGAAAAAAAAAATTTGTTTACAATAAGAACAATCTAACCAGAAAGGTGTATTAACTTGCTCGTTTGAAATCCTCTCTAACACAATGATCTCCACTTTATTTTTCTTTCACACACACTCAAATATAATAAAGCACTCACTAATCACTCTAACACACTCACACACACTCTCGTCTCCTTAACACATCACCCAAAAACCTTTTTATCCATCATATTTAAGCTTAGGAATGCGACATGGAGATCCGAACTATCAATACTGTCCAGAGTTGGTGTTGGGCACCTAGGCGTTACGTTCAAGCACCGATATTCTAGTCTCTCGGTCATGAAAGGCATATGGAGTTCTTATTCAAGCATACAGGTGCCATACTGGGCACCAAGTTTCTTGGTTTGAGCGCTTAGGTGCCTAGTTGAAGTTCATGGCTATGTAATGAGATTGGAACTGCAAGCAAACAGTTTCATCTCATCAGCACTCCTCGACACATACAGCAAGTGGGGAAGACTTGACATTTCAGTCCAGGTTTTCAATAACACTTCCGTTTGGAACACCATGATCTCAGCATTTGGGCTTCACGGGCACGGTGAAAAGGCCATCAAAATCTTCACAACCAAGACCCAGTTAGGAATTCAGCCTACAAAAGGCAGTTTCATTGCTCTTCTATCAGCTTGCAGCCACTCCGGGCTCCTCGACGAGGGATGCAGCCATTACAACCTCATGAAGAAAGAGTTTGGGTTTGAGCCAATCATTGAACACAATGTCTGTATGATAGATATGCTCAGTAAGGCTGGCAAAATCTGTGAAGCTTATAACTTTGTTCATAAATTTTCATCTAGAGCCGAGCCAGGATCTTGGGGAGCTATTCTGAGCCCTTGCACAGACCATACTAGACTTTTTAAATGTGGAACACATCTTCTCATTCATAGAAAAGGTGACATGTATGTAGAAATTGAAGTTTAGGGGTTAACATGTGAGCATATAAGAATTGAGTGGTATACGTGTAAATCTTACAAAAAAAAAAGGTATTTACTTACATACCATCTAATTGCTTGGAGCAATTAGACTTTAAAACTATTACAGTTGTTTGTTAGTACAATACCATAACTTGGAATGTAATTTTATTAAATATGTTCAGTAATACTTATCAAGCTTTTGAACATGGCATCAATGATATTTAAAAAAAAAAGGCATGAAGGCAAAGGATGCAAAAAACTTTTATGTCGTTTCAGGAACTGCACTCAAATCTTTGACATCACATAAAAATTGAAGTTTGGGTGTTAGACATTTTAATACATAGGAATGAAGTACTACGTATGCAAATCGTCCACCCAAATCTTAAATAAATGAATCATTTGTGAGTTTGTTGATGCTAAACTTATTATATTTCTACCACCCAAATCTTACACAACACATCACAAATACCACCATTTTTAAACAGAATATAAGAAACTGTATATTTCAAAATGCCATTTTTACTGTTAGGCAGGATTTTGGTTGAACTCTGCTGAATTCCTGCCACCAAACAGCAAATGTAAATTAAAATGTATTTATACAGAGCAATGGAAAACCTGTTTGAGAAAAGGTGGGAAAAGAAATGGGGAGTTGGAGGGCTCAGATTCATCATTGTTCCATCACCAAAGAATAACAGCTAATCTGCACTTCACCATCAAAAAGCAGAAGCAGCGGTTTCCTGCATTTCTACGTGCCGTTCAACATGTTCTAGCGCCAACACAAAAAAAAAAAAAAGCTTTGCAGCATTATGAGCACAGAAGCACTATCCTAAGCAGTCCAAAAACCGGGAAACATCAGATTATGAAATGTAATTCAACTTCATCGCCAATTAGAGACAGAAATAAACCCAGAGGAAACTTCAAGGTTAGGGGAGCTTTGATTCATATTTTAGTGTAATAAACAGCCTAAAATCAAATTATTTCTTCAAGTTCAATTAGCCATGTGAAGCAATAATACCCAAGAAAATAACAAACCATCCAAATTCAGATACATTCAAAATACTAAAAAAGTTCCATAGATAAATAAAGTATGTTGACCACTAAATATGAATTTGAATTCACTACATATTCATACGTTCAAGATAAAATGATAAGTAACATCAATCTAATGAAATTAAGCCCTCATTCATCTCCACAGAACTAAGTCACTTGTTTAGTTCAATCCACAACCAACTAGCCTTAGATTCCATTGACTTTGAGAGAAATGCATGAATCATCATTGTGTTCTTCGATAATTGATAAAAAAATAATGTCTGTTTTTTCCTCTAAGAATCCTGGAATATTATACAACTTTATTGTTAATTCAGTGAACACTTTTATGTTATCTAAGGCTCTTATTGTACTTTTTATAGCATTGGCAACTTCACTCACACTATTGGTCATAATAGTAATGTAGTCATGAATGTTAAGATCATCAGTAGAACTTCTTTGTATTTTTTTTGAGCCACACCCCTTCAAGAAAGATGACATATCTCCCTTCTTCATTTTTTTGCTTCCTTCTTTTACTCCCATTTTAGGCAACTGCATAGGAAGTGATGCACCTCCTCCAATCTCTCCAAATGCTCTAATCTCGTCATCATCCAAATTTATTGGTTAGGTGCCAAGTGAAGTTTGATTATTTCCAAACTTAGCCCAATCTCGAGTAGCATGACTTTCACCACATACCTTCTCCAACTCCATATAATTTGCAATGGGAACATTCAGAAGCATTGCATCTCGGGGAAAAGCTTATGACACAATTACAAATCAAGGACTTTATTTCATTTTCTAATTTCTTAAGAAAATAGTTTAGTAAAAGTAATACCTGAATGTGAGATAAGTATTCCTCAGGACCCATTAATATAATTTTTTTATTTACATCCCAAGACATACCAGATTTTTCTTTAGTTCTTAAACACAACTCCATAAAGTTCTTGGATGTCAAACTTAGTTCTCACATTACTCCCTTGTAACTTCAATTCCAAATTTCTCTTTTTGCTTTTGAACAGCTCCTTGATAAACATTCTCCTTAAATCCTTGGGCAGTTCATATATTCAAATCAACATATTCAGTCATAATTTGTAACAAACTGGTGACCCATTCGGGCATTAAGTTCCACATGAAATTTTTTTCTTTTCTTATTCTTTGAAGCAGCTGGAGTGGTTGATTGTTGTGTGTCCATAATTTCTATCAATAATAAACAACAAGCTACAAATATATAACTAAAAATATGTAGAGAATATTTGCAATGCCACAATAAATTGAAGATATACTGTTTAGTGAAAAAAAATTACTTGCAAAGAAAACATATAACAAATATTAAAGAACAAACCTATTAACAAAAAAGACTATATTTCTTGAAATTTAAAATTTTAAAAGTCCAAAAGTAAGACTATTATAATTCAAAAAACAAAAGTTAAACAACATTTTAGTTAACAACCCATAGTACTCATGTGATTCCATATGGCAACAAATATTTGATTTCTTTTTTTCTAGCCACCCTTTAGAGTCATCTAAAAAGTGTTCATATTTCTTTTTTTTTTTTTTAACACGACCTCACCTGACCTATTCATCTTCTGACATAATAAAATTATCCCCGACTTCAGTATCCAATTATGTAATATGCATCAGACAACTATAATGTCAACTTGGCTTTTTAATGAAAAATATGGCTGCTATTTAAAATTGCAAATCGATTCTTCAATGAACCAAAAACAGGCTCCACAGTTGTGCGTAGAGATGAGTGTCAAATATTGAACGACTCCTTATAATTTGTTGGTGTAATGTCACTAAACTTCTTTAAGTGATTTCTTGTTACACAATATGGAGACATAAAACTTTTTTTGGTTGAGTAATCATTATCAGCTAAGTAGTTTTTGTCTGCAATAAATAATAATTTCTAGTAATTAAAAATTTTAACTATTTATGATATTTAATATAAACCTAATTTATATACCTTCTGGAACATGTAAACCATCGGGTCATTCTAATGCATTTCTAAGGATTGTTGCATCATGGGTCGAACTTTCCCAACTTACTAAAACACACGTCCACTGTTGCTAGCATATTTTGAGATGGATATGATTGCTTCCTCTGAAAGCGGATTCATATTTCTTTGATACGGTATTCTCGCCTTAATGTGTGTATCGTCTATGGTGCCAACACAATCTTATTCACGTAATTGTTTTAGAAAGAATGATTAAAAAAAGGTAACATGAAATGTAATTTGTGAATGTACCTCAAAAAAGGCATAAACCTAGAATTTGCTTGTATTTTATTTGGAGTTTGGAGTAGCAGAGGTTTAATTGTTTCATGTTGTATCTCTCCAATGACATATAATACATTGTTGAGATACCTATTAATAGTTTCTCCTGACTTTGAAAGCCAAATTGTATGACCGATTACGAACACTGTGACCAAGTTTATGTGGAAACATAGCAATTTGTTCTTCGACACACACATAGTTTGTATTGACAAGCAGTCTTCTCATTCACAGTAAGTTACACAACTTGAAAAAATGTTCTTTTCTTATTCGCACCATGCTTACACAACCAAAATTAGAACCAAGATATAATCTAGAGAGATATATTTAATGTTGGATATCTCGTTCAGAATTATAATTTCTTCTTTGACTTCTCGTTATATACTACTCACTGCGGTAGTGACAACTGCATGAATAATTATTATTGTCCTGCAAGTGATCGAAATCAGACAACTTTTCTGCATTGTCTTCAACTCGTTCATCCATTTCTATAATACATGCATATACATGATCTAATTAGTTTATATATTAAAATATTCCATTCTAAGATAAAATATAAAGTTATTGTAATTTTGTATTCGTTAGTTTTATCTTTTTATTTTTAAAGGAGTTGTCAGCTTGTCTATCGTTGTATGATTCCATTTTCTGAATAAGTGTCTCTTCCGGATTATAAGAATGATCAGGAGAAGAAATGAACTGGAAAAGCAGAGACATACAACAAAGAAGAGAAACAAAGAGAGAAAATATGGAGCTCTTACGTGCGATAAACCTCGCAAGAATATGTCAAGTGTCCTCCCAAACAAGATCGAGTGGAGGCACCTTGGACCAATATCCATTAAAGAATACATACGTAGACTATCCATAACTAGATGTTCATGTGTGTTTGTCTGTTATGTGGTCCAAAGTGCTCCAAAGGGGATGTATCTCACTTGGTTATTACATCTTGGGAGTAGCCCATAAAAACTCTTGATTAAAAAGAGTTTTGCTTACATTAATAGTGAAAACTAGCACAAGGCTATCAAAAGACAATTATTTCACATGGAAATACTCTGATGCTTTCAAAGCTCCCATTAGGCCACGGGACGGAGAGCGAATCTCTTGCGGTCCCCACATGGGTAACAGACTCATTAGCATACGGAGCACACAAAAATAATCGAATCATCCCGACAGAGAATCCCAATATATCAAAGCACATCCAGTTCATAAGCACGGAGGACAAATCATTGTATCTCAAAAGGACAGTAGCTCATCGAAAATCAGGCCGTCGAGATGAAACCAATAAAGACAATATGAAAGATGGGGCTCAACAGAGGTAGTCAAAGAAAGAGAAGAGTAATCCCTAGAAGTTAGAGATAGCCAGGTCGGGTACCATGGACCCATCATCCCAAGCCGATAAAACCCTAAGTCTACCTGGTCGTTAAGGTAATCGACCCAACACTTCATGTGATCTTCGATCAGCAATCTGTGAATTGTGTCATCCACGTGAATCGTGGTAGCCCTGAGTTCAAATGAACCAAACTCTATCCTTATCAAGTGGAGCTCCAAAAGGTGGGACTTGCACTCACCAAACTGACAAGGATGCCATTAGAAAGGAAGAGATGAGGAGGTTCAGCTACAAAGTTGGAAATACTCCAAACAAAGGACTCACACCCGTCTAGGTCGGGGAGCTTTCTAACAATCTAAGAGGCCTAGAAGTCTATTCTAGGTCAGTCAGTTGAAGAATTTTTCTCAATACATACTTATGATGCAGTTGTCTATTCAACTCCTAAGCGTTGAGGCCTTATTAGTTTGACTTTGGATATGTCAATGCTATGCAACTCATTTGAAAATCGGCCTAAAGGCCATTTAGGAAAGTAGAAAGCAGGTTTTGAAAAACTCTGAATTTTTTAATCCTAAATTTTAATTAGTCTTGAAATTTTTATTAGATTTTTTGTAGAAAAAATTAATATTTTAAGTTCCTAAAAAGCCTAAATTGTAATTTCGTAGCAGTCCATTTGCAGCCAGAAAGAAACATGGGAAACGACTCAAGCATGCAATCATGTAGCAAAAGCTATAGAACAAACAAAGAAAATAATAAAAGTCGATTTCACTGGGTCGGTTATATATCCCATAAAAGAAAAAAGCGATCAGATTCCATATATACATCTATGATCCCTGTCACGTGGTTTCGCCCGTCTGACGCCTCGAAACTCGTGCTTGTACCTTATTTATAATACAAACTCTTTCTTAGCATGGACAACCGAACTCACGGTGACATCACAAATTTGGCCAACCAAAAGTCATATGACCGTGTTAACTGATATCATTCGACCAATCGGATCGCCCGATAACGAGTGATCGATTGAGCCAGACGATACCAGGTGACCGATCAAACTTGGCTTGTGTGGGCAACCAAAACCCACAACACCAAGCAAGATCTACTCCTAAGGTCAGCTAAGAAGGAAAATGCAAAGGATTTGAGGAGTTTCATCAATACGACAGTTGGAGAAGATGACCGGATTCCTTCTCCCAGGTGATGAAGAAGCCCTCCTCGCTGGAGAGAATGAAGGAGTTGCTAAAGTTGACCTTCTCCCAAGCAGAGAGGAATTTCTCCTCGTAGTCTCAGCGGAGTGTCGCCGGAGAGGAGGAAGATGACCAACAAAGTAGAAGAGATCGCCGGAGAGGAGGAAGATGACCAACAAAGTAGAAGAGATCAAGAAAATGGAGGAAAAGAGCTTGCCTTAGCTTTTCCTTGAAGAAAAAGATGGAATTCTTCTAGAAATCTCCCTGGAAGCTCTTGAATCCCCCCTTGCTCCAACACTGCTCTCCAACAACAATGGTGGTCGATCAATGCAAATGAGCCTCCTCAACTTCGTTAAACAACCTTAGGAAGAAGACTCAAAGGGTCTAAATCACTTTCCCAATTTGGAATGGGCCCAAAATATCTCTCATACAATATTTAGGTGAAGAACAAGCAAAAGGAGACGGCCCGCCGGACTTGGCCTTCTTGCAGGCGGGAATCCAGGGACCGGAGGGCCAAAATTTATTAACTGTTCTCGACGACGTGGCCACGCCGAGCTCGGGCGACTGTTCAAAGCGTCGCGAGATAAGGGCAAGCGTGGTCGCGCCTGAGGCCTAGCACAATTACATGAGGTGCTCTAACTTGCGGTGTGACTGCACCCGAGGCATGCTTGGTTACTTCGCCTATAGAGCTTTTTGAGCTGTTTTGGGTGGTCTTGGCGTGGCCAACCCCGCTTTAGGCATGGTAACGCCACTAGCTAAGAATGGCCACTTCTAAGTTAGGCATGGTCACGCCAGACCCCATAAATTTTGGGCTTCCAGAAAAGCTAGCAAAGGGGTTTTAGGCCTCATGGGACCTCTAGAGGATTGAATGTGAGTAAGTCATGATCCTTAGACCTTCGTAAGGACCGCAAATGCCTCTTAAAATAGTTCGAGAGGCCGAACTATCTACATATCGTCAAGCAGGTTCCAACATAAAATCCATTTATCTTGGCCTTGGACTTAAGGTCCAAACATGATGTGGGGGTACTTTAGTCAACGGTTTGTGCCACGGGAATTTCCCTATTAGCACGATACGACCCTATGTCACAGGAACGAATGTCAACCTGGAGGGCACCGGAGGTAATGCCGGATTGGCCATGATTGACTCGAGGCACGACTATGACGATGTAGACCTCAATTACAGTGTCGTGCACTTAGCGAGCATGTCCCGTGTAGATCACATCAAAAATAAATGCCAACAAATTTGCCTCATCCAACACTTATCAAATATATTTTTTTTTACATTCACTTCTAGAGGAACACATAACAGCCATTAATCGTCATATCTAGTAAGGGATGATAATTTTTACACACCAATTATTCAATGCAACTTTCCTAATCACATACAATCACCTCAATTCACCCGCTCTCACTCCCTGAAGCACTCAACATTGCATCCTAAAATCCCACCACTTATGTGTTGCATCATAGCACCCGCTTCATATTTTCAACACATTCAGGTTAGATTATAGAATGTTGCATATGGAGTTTCTTACCATCAACAAAACTTATGTTCGTGAAATGAGAAGTTATTTTTAGAATTAATTGTCTGCAATATTATCAGCCCACAACTTCTCTCACTTAAGATTGAAATATCTGATCACAAAAATTCCAAAAAAATAAAGTCTACTTGCATCTTTAAGAAAAAAAAAAGTTAAACTTGTCAATTTATTACCACCTTTGAAGATTGAAGTGTGTTAATTATAGTGGAAGCTTCTAGAAAGAAGAATAATACATAAGCATTTGTATATAAAATAGGATTGATTCGAGAAAAGCCTCTTTCCTTCTCTAACCAAATAACAGAACTTAGTAGCTTCAGCTGGAGGGTAACACATATCAATATGGGAAATAAAAAGGAGAAAGAATGAAAGTTTTTGAACTTTGGCATAAATTTAGGGCTTATATCACTAAAGTAAGAAGTGTAATAAATGGAATAAAGCATATCAGTTTTTGCTTGGATCAAGCTTATTCCAAAATCTGGCGTGGATCCATGGAGCATACCCTAAAATAAAAGTGGATCCGGTTTCCTTTGAAATTTAAAAGATGTTCCTTTTTGCGATGTAAATTAAGCAAGGAAGCATGTTTTTTATTCATTAAAGCATTAATAAAATGAAAAAAAGTTGTAGAAACCATTTCAAGATAAAATTGATTTTGCTGTTTCAGTATTTTTTGGCCCAATTATTAGAAATGCCAACTACAAAAGCAATAACTCATTTTCTGTTTCAGAAGGCACAACAAACAATAAGCATATGCAATCTTAGCAAACCTCACTATGAAAATGGACTTTCGAAGCCGTCAAAATAAGCAAACACTCAGTTAAGCAATGCCATTGTAACAAAGTTCTTACTTCTACGAAAAAAAAATAATACCCGCAGATCTGGACGGCGGCCGTAGCGACGAGAGGGACTGAGGAGGCGGTATCGCGAGGCAGGAGGAGGGACTCGGGAGGGAGGCAGTATCTGGTTTTGCGCCCAATTTTGGCTGTATTTATAGTATTACACTCTTCCATTAATATCACAGTTACTAAAATTTTAGACTTTGCTTTCTTATTTAAAAATTATTTCTTAAATTTCATCTCACTAGACATTTGTTTAAAAGATTATATAAATGGAATATCAATAGTGAGATTTTTGAACACTTCCATGAATCTAGAGAATTGTTGACTCAATTTTAGTTTTATTAATTCTTGAGAAAAAGAAGGTGGAGATCTTTCTTATTATTTCATAGGAGGTGAGTTAGATTTTCTCAAGTTCAGAGTAGGTTTTTCAATAGGTCTCTCATGCTCGGGTTCATGTTCTTCTAGACTAGGCTTATTCTGAGTTACCTTATCCAACTCCTTCCACTCCTCAATGTAATGGCTTTAACCACTTCCAAAACTTGGTCCTTAGGCTTCACCTCAATGTTGCTTGGTACTGTCTCTTGGGGTCTATGACTCAAAAAGTTAGCCAATTGCTCTACTTCATTGTTCCTTATGATTGCAACTTGCTTTCGTATCTGATTTCACATATGTAACACTAATTCTTTTAATTTTTTTCTTTAAATTGAGTACTTGAGATGAATCCAAAAGGATAATGAAGACTCGGGTTAAAATTATTGCCTTAATTTTCCTAGTTCCCTATTGATTTAGGTTGGTTGCAACTCTAATGTTGATTTCTTACACTTGGTTATTATTATTCTAACTAAAATTTGGGTGATTCTAATGTAAAATTTAAACCTAGATTGTCTAGTTTCTCTAATATAGTGGCAATTTGTGAAGTCTGAATTATTAACATATCAGTATTATGAACATCAGCTACTCTCTTGTGGTTAACTGTATCATAATTCCATTAGAAATTATTAGTGGATATCTCTTCTATAAGCCTGTAGTCCTCCTCAAAATTTTTAGACATTAAAAATTGCTCATCTGAAATGTCTATAATGTACCTCAAAGATCCCACCAGTCCATAATAAAAGGTCTAAAAAATTAGCCAATTGCATGGAGCGTTGTGTGGGCACTTCCTACGTAACTCCTTAAACCTCTCCTAGACTTCATAGATTGACTCACTCATTAATTAGGTGAAAGTAGTTATGTCATTCCTAAGCTTGGTTATTTTACAGGGTCGGAAGTACTTCGCTAAAGATTTTTGGGCTAGGCTAGTCCAAAAGATGATACACCCTAATGCTACAGAATTTTCTCTTTAAGTGAAAAAGAAAATAACATAAATCTAGTAGTGTTGTTAGAGACACCATTGCACCTAAAGGTTGCACATAATTTTAAAAAGTTGGCTAAGTGCAATTAGGGTAATGTGTGTAAACTGTATAACATATTTTCCTATATTTAATTGCTTTTTTTACACTATTTGTATCATATTTTTGTTTTTTCAAGTATTTTTTTAGGTGTAATTACTAGCTATGAGTTTTATCAAGTATTTATGGATACATACGACCTAAAAAACCCCATGTGGCATTTCAACTCACTCCAAATTGATCAAGGGCACTTTCAAGTTCCAGCTGATGGGTGATAGGTGCGCCAAGCCTAGTGATGTAGCTACAATGAAACATTGTTGTAGTGCTACACTGCTTTATGTTTGTGTGTTGTATTTATGTTGCTATATGCTAGATCCAATTGATGCTTATCAAGCCCACACCTCCCTACATGATCAATTTGATGAGATGATAGAATTATGAGGATTCTGACACTCCCATGAAGAACTCCTGCACTGACAAACTAACTTAAGGAGTAATGGAAATTTTATATTTGTGTGGCGATCTGTAGCTACAAAAAAAGTAATTTTGAATGAAGAAAGGCATCTTCTCCAAGATTTTAAAAAAGAAAAAATACCACCAGGTGAGATTTTTGAAGAATGCTTGTAGTCTTCAATACATTTTGATAAAGGGATCCTTTGAGAGAGTCTGAGAGTGTGTGTGAAAGTTCTCCTTATAGAGAATAATTGTGTTATAATTACTATACTCAAAGTGAGATGAAAGAGAGTGTGTTGTGACTTTATGTAATTTGGTGAAGAACATCCGTGAGATAACTCTAATTTTATTTTTGTGGATTTTGCAATAAAACTTATGTTGCGTTTAGTTTTTATGAGTATGAATTAATTTTTTTTTTCCTTGAATTGGATTCAATGCAAATTAGTATCATTTTTGTTATGTGATTGTGTGCAATATGAATTTTAAGTTGATAGTTTAATTTTATGTATGTCATTTAATCATAAACTGATCACTTAGGATGGTAAAATTGATTCTGATATAGTACTATAGAAGTAGGCTTGTAGAGCAATTAGGCTGGCCTACACTACTCTAAGAGAATAAGAATATTGCTATTAAGATGGTGCAATCATTTAAGAAAAATTTCAACCACTAGTTTTTCATGGTTAGGAGATTAGTTGTAATATGAAATCACAATTTTCTTATGACCACTAGCAGGGGCAAAGAGAAACTATTATTTCTGATTGTCAACTTCATTAGTTTCACTTTGATACTTTTGGTTTACATCTGACCAATTCAAGGGAGGTTTTCTATCACTTGTTCAAACTCAATACTAGTTATAGGTTTTAATTTTTATAAAGATTATGTTTAAAAATTTAAAATCACTATGTTTTTAACCTTTAGGTCGTAATCAAATTTATCAGATTAAAACTTTTTTGAATTTTCGGAGTTCACTCATTACTTGTGGGATTGATAGACTAACTTAGTTTCAAATACTAATTGCTCAGTACATATACTTCCATGTATCGCTAATGTTTCATAACATTTTGGTCGTATGAAGTTTTTGGCACTATTGCCACGAAAATATGTTGAATTTCTAATTTTAAGAAATTTTTAGTTGAATCATTATGGTTTACACTTGAAAATGCAATGTTTTTTCTTTATTTAATTTGTTATTTAATGTTATAAAATAAAAAAATTGTTATTCCTATTTTTACTTTATGCATATTCTCCTATTTTACTTCCTTTATCAGAGAATGTAGCTCATGTGTTATGTTTCTTACTAGTTTAAGGTCTCTCTTGCTAATTTTAGCCTTTTATGCATAGGAATGGAGTAGCTGAATTTGTGTCTTACTGCCATGAATTAGAGAAAACCATCCAAAAATTTTGGAAATTTAAAATCTCAAAAAGAATTTTGGAGAAATGCAAAACCATCCCAAGAAGAACACATCGGACCTCTTAGAGAGTATATTAATCCTTTAATATAAGAAATCCATTTGAGTGTTAACTACTCTACCATAGAAGTCACCTCATTTACACCAAAACTACAAAACAATCAGTTTGAAGGCTCACTCGCATAAGACCCCAACCTCCACTTAGCTAGTTTTCTAAAAATCTTTCATATTTTGGTATAATGGTATGTTCGATGACGCACTAGATATAGACTTTTTTTCTTTCTCACTTAGCGATAAAGCCATAATGCAGTTCAACGTCTTAACACCTGAATCAATTACTACATGGAATGATTTAGCCAAATATCTCTGGCCAAATAATTCCCTCCATAAAAAATGACAAAACTTAAGAAAGATATCATCTCGTTTATCCAATTAGATGGAGAATTTTTCTATGAAGCTTGGGTGAGATTTATGAAGCTACTTAGGAAATGTCCCCTCCACGTCGTACCAGATTGACTTATTATTCAAACTTTTTTAATGAGCTGGTGGGTTCGTTGAGGTCCATAATAAATATTGTAGCTGGTTGGTCACTTATGTCAAATCCATTTAAGGAAGCTTATTTCCTAATCGATGATATGGCTATAAAAATTTTTCAATTGCATTTAGATAGCGTCAATTCTAGGAATGTAGTAAGTGTGAGTGACAAAATTTTTCAATGGCCTTTAGAAAAAGCACCCAAAATTTATTTGGAAAAATAAGCCAAGATGTAGGAACCTAAAAATTGGATAATAGTCAACTAAATCCTATAAGTAATTGAAACAACCAATGTAGTGGCCATCCTAGACTAACCTACCCTCCTAGATTTACTTTTATTCCCCAATTTAGGGAAAAGAAACTATCTTTTGAAGAAGTAGTACCAAAAATGAGCAATTAAATACAAAGTCATAGTGTAGTTATTATGAACATTGAAATGCAATGAGGGCAAATGCCTAACTCATTGAGCCAGAGACCCTTGGGGACACTACCTAGCTATAGAAAGGTGAATCCAAAGAACTAGAATGTGAAGCATTGCAATGTCATAAGACTTAGTAGTGAAAAGGTGCTTGAGGAGCCTAGAATGGAAAAGCCTGGAATAGTGGAGCTCAAATTTAATCTTGAAACCTATATAAGAACTTACCCCAGACAAAAATGAAAAATGCCTTCACCACCTTGAATAGAATAAGAGAGACCACCACCACATTTTTCTTAGAGATTTATTAAATAGAAATTGAACCAGCAATTCTTTAAGTTCCTAGAAATTTTCAAGATTCTCACTGTTAATAATCCATTTGCTGAAACACTTGAACAAATGCCCAATGACATGAAACTTATGGAGGAGTTTTTGAACAAGAAATGTGAGTTTTCAAATTTCAAAACTATGACATTAACTGAAGAGTGTATTACTGTAGTTTAGAAAAAAAAACTCTCCTAAGAAATGAAAGATCGGGCAGTTTTATTATTCCATGCAATATAGGAGATCAATTTATGGCAAAGACATTATGTGAATCAAAAGTTAACATAATCCAATGCCTTTTTAGTATTTGAAAGGCTGAGACTATGAGAGCTTTATCCTACCATTGTGACCCTTCAATTAGAAAATTCTTTAATTTTTTCAGGGGGATTATAAAAAATATCCTAGTGAAATTTGAAAAAATTCATCTTCTCCTTTAATTTCAGGATATTTGATATGAAGAAGATGATGAGATCCCTATTATTTTTAGCAGCCTTTTTTTCTAACTAGTAAGGAGAATATGGACTTATAAAAATGAGAGTTAACTATTAAAGTAAAAAATGAGGATATGACTTTTACAATTCATA